CATTAGAAAAGGTCATAGAGTTCACACAGGCCTTTCATGTTAAGGAACTTAAAAGAAAAGGAAAGGAAAAGTACATTTTTAGCCTTAGCTGTGATGAGGTGGGCCCGGGCCATGAGAACACTTAGATGACTTACATGACGTTACACGAAGAGCCAATTAGCCTAACAACTTCCGAAAACTGTCTAGCTCAAGAGCACCCATTTATTAGAGCGCATGGAATGTGCCCGGCCTTGTACTCAGCTCTTTTCCAGGGTGCGGAAATCATCTCAATCTCACTCAGTGCGCGGCAGCCTTGGATGTGATACTCATTTTACCCAGGAGGAAGCTGAGGCCCAGGGAAGGTCAGTGATTTGTCTGGAATCCCCCAGCTGGTAAAGAGTAGGGCAGGGAAACTCAGATAGGCCTGCCTAAATCCAAGCTGGTGCTCTTGTACTCAGACCCTCAACCCTTGTGAGCTCTGACTTTGTCCTATCTCTAGCCTCTGAGGAGAGCACACGTCCACCTGGTTTGTTTGCATGAAGATGAAGACTCATGCTATCTTCAGCTCTGACCTGAACATCATGAGTCCAGAAGAGTCTGGGTCCTCCCTGCAGAAGACTCTGGCCCTCATCCGGAAACTCCCTGGTCACCCCCAGAGGGGCAGCCGCAGCAGAGCTCACCCACCATTCTGTGGAAGAAGCCCATAGTCACTGTGTGTGGGCCCAGAGGAGAGATGGTACAGACTGAAGTGTGATTCAAGGGAGATGCTCTGGGCCCTCCTGCCTAGCAAAGGGCTTGAGCCATCTTATATGGACCAAGCAGGGAGATTCCCCAATCCTCACACACCATAAGCCACCCAGAAGGCCAGGACTCTATTAGTAGCAGCTCATTCATCAGCATTTGCACAAACCACAGAGCAGATAAGAACCGCACCCCCCACCCCCCACCCCGGGACTTTAGAGGTCATGACAGAACACTAGAGTGTGGTAGTTAGAGTGTGGGCTCAGGATCCCGCCACTGTCAAGGTTTGGAATTCTGATACTCTCACTTCAAGCTCTGAGATCCTAGGTGGCTTATTCAACCTGTCTGAGCTTTGCTTTCCTTGTTCATGAATGAGGATAATAGCTCCTATGTCATAGGATTTGTATGATGATTAAATGAGATAATGTGTGTGAAGCTCTTGACATGATGCCTGACACACAGCACTCAGTAAGATGAAGTCATTGAGAAGATGATAATAATGACGATGATGATGCAATCAGTGCCAACCAGACAAGGGGCTGCTGAGGGCCACACCTGCCTTCTGCCCTTTGTGGACAAGCATGAACTCCTTTAACTCTCTACCGCTCTGAGCCCTAGAGAGGTTTCCAGGTCCAGATGAAGTCTGCCTCCTCCACGAAGCCCACCTCACCACCCCAGCCACATTGATTTCACCATATCTGAGCTCCTTCTGCCCATGGTCTGTGTAGATGAATCACCAACAAGCTTGGCTCTCATAACTTATCAGCTTCTCAAGCAGTGACCCCTGGAGAACAGGACCCCCTCCACTGTCTCTCCCCTCTCCACAGCTTGAGTCCGGATTAGGTACACGCACAGTCGATTCTCCCTAGAAGGCACTCAAGCTAATTTCAGTGTAGCTGTAGATGTCTGATACTCAGCTGGTTTGTCCCTGCCTTACTTCTCCTCCTCACTTCCCTATTCTCCCCGCTCACCTGCCTCCTCCCCTGGTTCCACACCGCAGGGCAAGAGATTAAAGCCATGACCTTGTACAGCAGTGGTTCCCAGACTTTGGGATTTCACAGCTCTATAAAATGTCCAAAGAGATCTGGGGTGGGGGAGCGAATAGAACGGCCAAGTATTTCTTTTGCCAAATAAGAACATTTTAAAAAATCAATTTTCACCATTATTTTAGCAAAGAAAAGCTGTTTTTTACACCAAGAAAGCAGAAAATCCATAATCTCTGATTAAAAGTTAATACTTTAAGCTGAAAAAATTCAGCCTTATTGAGAAAAACAAACCACCTCACTGTTGCCCTGACTTCTCTCCTTTCTCCATGGACTGGAGATAACAACCCCAGTTGTTCTATGTTCACTCATGGGTCTGGGGACCTTTTTGTCCTGGAGGAGGCTCCTGCTAAGCTGGGATCACTCTCAAACGCACGAGGACCCCCAAAGCCTTTGAGTTGGGCAGATTCATCTTCCCATACAGCTTTCCCAAAGGAGGCTCATCCAAGCCAGATCCTATAACCTCAGAAGCTGAAGTGGGGGGGGGGGGCATGGGCCCCTCCTCCTGTACCCTTTCCCCTCCCTACTGGGCTAAGACTTGCTGGAACCTGCCCCCAACCCCCACCGCCCAATGGGGATAACGTGAGACAGTAGCAAGCTCACATCCAGAAACGGAGACTGGGGGAACATAATCGGCAGGACCTTCTCCACATCTCCGTCGCCAAACTGAGCACTAGTAACCCCCAGCCCCCAACTCCCGGAAGGGAGGAAAAGTGGGCACTCCAGTCGTGAGGTAGGAGGCCGAGCCGCCCCGCTGAGCGGGCGCAGATAGAATCTGAACGCCGAGAAGGACGGCCCTGGCTCTTTGATCCGCAGCCAGCCAGGCTGGGCCTGGACCGGGAGGGGCGGGGCGGCCCTCTTCCGGCCCCGCTTTGCGCTGCTGCCAGGGGTCCTGTGGGGCTCTGAGCGGGAGAGGCGTCCAAGACACCCTCCCTCCCTAATACTCTCTGCCCCTGTGCCCTCGGGAGAGGTGGGAAAGTCTACACTGAATCCAACTCAGAAACCTGCTGGGGGCTGCGGTTCACTGCACAACGATCCTCAAGGATCTATGTTTTAACCAGATACAGTGGCCGAGCCAAGGCCAAGCGTCCTGTGGAGGCCCGAGTGGACATGACCCCGGGTGCCTTGTAGATGCGATGGAAGCCGGCACACGTTCCCGCGCTCCTCTGGCTCTAATAGAGCCTGCTGCTTGGATCTTGCGAGAGTCCGCCTGCGTCAGGCTCAGGGTCAATTGGCCCCATGGGAATGCGACTTCCCGTATTGAGTTGCTTCGGACGACCCACCCCTCGTCGGAATCCCGCGGCCCACGTGGCTGCCCAATGCCTCGCATCCCTGCGCTGCAGATTCTAGGCGTGGAACTTAGTTTGGAGGGAGGGAGGGGTGGGGGGCTGAAAGATCGGCACCGGGTTTGGGGGATCCTTCCTCCTCGTCCTCTTGGCTGTTCCACGCCTCAGAGATGCCACAGGGCTGAGAAGCACGTCACAGGGTGTAATGCATTAGCACCGCATGCAACAGGCGCTCAGTAAATGTGTGAGGGGCATAATGCTTGTGTTCGCACTGTATGTGGGCAGCCTGGAAGGAAGTCCCAGGTTGGTTTAGGGTTGCAGAATAGGGCAGAGAATGGGACTTTGAGGAACCTTAACCCTGCCAGCTGGTGTTGGAGAACAGCTTCGAACAGCCTTCAACCTCTAGAAGTCCCCATTTTCAAGCCTTTAACGCTGCCGCACATTAATTACCCTTACGGCTTGCGTTCCAGGTCACCCCCACGGCCTAGGTGGAGAAACCTGGGCGCAGACCGGGGAATCCCATATTGTAGGTGAGGAAGCAGGGTCAAGAGTCTCGCTCAGGGTCCCCGCGTTTCAGAAGGGTGAAGCCTGTCGGACGCTTCACAGCTACGCCCGAGACTAGCCCTGGTTGCGCGCGTCGCGTCCCGGCCCTCTCCGGAGAGGAGGGCGGGAACGGTACATCGCCCGGCCCGCCCCGCCCCCGGCGTCCCCGCCCGGCCCCCCGCACTGAGCCGGCGGCGCTGTTTCGGGATTCGCGCCAGCTCCCGGAGCCGCTCGGCCTGGCGCCGCGCCGCCCCCGCGCCATGACCAGCAGGCCTGCCCAGGCAGTGCCGCCCCGCCCGCCGCGCTTCGGGCTCCGGAGGTTCGGACTCCGGACTCGCGCTGCCTGCCGGCCGGCCCTCCGCGCCCCCGCTCCCGAGCGCCGCGCCCCACCGACCCAACCATGACCAGCTGCCACTGGACTGGACTCGGGCGGGGCGGCGGCGGGGCGGCGCGGGCGACGACCTCGGCGCCGGACAGCTGCTGGCCTTCCAGGACGCAGGGCAGGAGAAGGGACGACAGAGCCGGACAGCCCAGGCCCCAGGCTGACCAGAGCCGGCTCAAGTCGTCGCTGGTCTGATCCAGGGCGCGGGGATGGGGCTGAGGGTCCTGGGGCCAGTGCCGGGCTGTACAAGCGGAGGTCGGGGCGCGAGACGTGAGCACTCGGCCCTCGCTGCGCCTCTGCTCGCCCGCCGCCCCCCGTGCCCGGCTGGCCTCACGCCCGCCCTCCGGTCCCTGGGGTCCCATCCTCAGACCCCTCCTGCCCTAGACTCGCGAGCCCCACGCGCCCCTCACGCCCCTCTGGATCTCCGCACCATCTCAGGCGGGAACACGCTTCACTGCGAGCACTTTCCCCGACAAACTTCCAGAGTCTCTGGAAGACGGTGAGTTACCGCCCGGTTCCCCTCCAGCCGCTAAGGCCCCGGTGGGAAAGGGGGTGGCACGGAGGACGGGGGTGGCGGGGAAGTGCACCGCACGGCAACTAAAGGAGGCGGCAAAACCTGGGGGTGGGGTGGGGGCGGGTTTCCCGGGCGCCGCCGGGCTCGAGTCACTTCCGGTGCCCTGACCTTTATAGGAGTAAACAGACCCCCGCCATCTCCGCCTCCCCTCCTGCCCAGGTGACTGACTAATCCCCAGTCTTGAGGAGAAAGCGTTGGCCCAGGTTCCTTGGCCGGCGGGCGGGCTGGGGTCAAGTAGGGGCCGCCCAGGGGAGGCCTGGACGCGGGGTCCTTCGTCGGAACTCGGTACCGAGGCACTCCCGGCGCTTTTTTTCTCAAGTCCCACTTGAACGGGACCCCTCGGCAATTATTACTCTGGAGAGCAGACCCCTCTGGTCCTGACAGCCCCGGCGGGCGCGTCTGACCCAGCTGTGGTTTTTCCAGGCCTGAAGGCCCCGGAGTGCGCCAGCGGCATGTACAAAGACACCGTCTACTCGGCCTTCAATCTGCTTATGCACTACCCACCCCCTTCGGGAGCAGGGCAGCACCCCCAGCCGCAGCCCCCACTGGTAAGTGGCCCCGGCATCCCGCAGGCCTTGTGCCTGCTACCTCCTTGACCAGGTAGGTGAGGCATGGGCAACAAGTGTCTTGTGCCTAGAACAAAATAGATAAGTGAGAACTCTTTTCTGGTGTCTTTTCCCATATACACCCAGTGGGATGGGAAGCAGGAGAACTTTGCTGAAGGAAGGAGAGACAGCCCTAGGCACCCCCTTCCCTCCAGCTGTTGGCCTTTGTCCTCCCAGCTTGCTCACAAGCAGGTGCAGGCCCTGTCCTGATGCTAGGTAATGCCAGGGTAGAGTCTTTTCCGAGAATTTTTGAGCTGACACCATTCCCTCCCCTCCTGAGGTGCTGGTGTTCTGGTGTGGTCTGAACTGTGAGCTTTGCAGTTGGCCTTTTCCCGGAGCCTGAGCCCCAAGCCTGGGTGTTTGGAGGAATGGACAGAAATGCTGGTGTGCTTTAGAGCTCCCGGCTGTGCAGGAGAAACAGACTCAACTCGCTCTGTCCTTCTTGCCATGAATGCACCCTTGCCAGAGAAAGACCACAAATGCAATGTGTAGAAAGTAGGTTTTTATGAGGCTGGGTTGCTTTCCTATGCACCAGGAAGGGCCTGCAGAGGTGTTTCAAATCAGTGGTGTGGGTAAGGGACCTGTTGAATGATTTTGCTAATTAAATATATTTAAGCGCTTTGAAAGATTCCAACGATGGTTTGATCGTTACAAACCATGCTTTTCTGCCTCATTGGTACATGACCTGAAAGGTAGAAGAGCCTATTCTGAGTGCATTGGAGCAGTACAGCTGCACTTAAAAAAAAAAAAAAAAATTGAGGGGCGCCTGGATGGCGCAGTCGGTTAAGCGTCCAACTTCAACCAGGTCACGATCTCGCGGTCCGTGAGTTCGAGCCCCGCGTCAGGCTCTGGGCTGATGGCTCGGAGCCTGGAGCCTGTTTCCGATTCTGTGTCTCCCTCTCTCTCTGCCCCTCCCCCATTCATGCTCTGTCTCTCTCTGTCCCAAAAATAAATAAATGTTGAAAAAATTAAAAAAAAAAAATTGAGATTAGTGTTTCAGACTGTCCTCAGCTGGCCTAAATCAGGGGTGAGATTAGAGGTCCTACAGTACACTAAATGTTTGGGGGCTTGGGGCTGCAAGTGGAGGCCTCGTGCAGGAGGGGCCAGCAGGTAGGAGGCTCACATGGCTAGTGGGGGTCACCCTGAGGGAGGAGGGTGACTGCTGGGCCATTTCAGATCAGAAGTGAGGAGAGTTGGTTCTGAAAGCTGTTTTGATGCCGAAGCCGGTGGGAGGTGAGAAGACAGATTCTTCTCCCCAGAAACCCAGAATGGAAAACCTGGTAAACTGTTGACTCTAGAAATGAGCTCCTTGGCCCTTGGACTCCCCATTTTCTCAAATGCAGAAGGAGCGTGATGGTTGAATGGTCTCTCTGCTCTAGGGTGGCTCTGGTCTCTGAGGTGTTTGCTTCCTTCACGTCTGTGAGGGAGGCGGTTGCCCTTTGACCTCACCATCTCAGGCAACACCTCTTCCTAGAGACCTCCACCCTGCACCAGCAGATGCTTAACATAGATTCTTTTTGGGTCTCCTACAACGGGTAAACTCTTAGGTTTTGGGGCCAACTTGACATAACACAGCACTGCCAAACCCCTGGCAGGTGAATTGCTTGGACAGGGCGCTGTGGTCACTGTGACAACCATGAGCAGACAAAAGACCTAAGACCAAGAACAGTCCTAGGAGGGCAGGCTGCCCTCCAGCCTCTTGTGATTTCACAGTGCTTCAGGAAGGCGGTTGGATTTCTGTGATCCTTTCATGGCCTGCGTGAGTGCGAGAGAGCCCAGAGTGGGAGGGCCCCCTTCTCTGTAAGGGTGTGGTGATGGGACCATTTGGTCTCCTTTAGCTCACACTGGTCAGAGTGTAGGCGGACGGATGGCCAACTCCAGCAGTCAGGATTCTTGGTGGGGGGAGCGGGGAGAGGGGGGTGCTGAAGCAGGCACATCCCTCTTCCCCTAGCCTGGGTCTTTTGTTTTTTCAACCTCGGCATCTTTCTCAAGCTACAGCAGATGCTTTTCTGTGTGTTATACCCTCTCCTGTAGAGGTAAGTCCCCTTGTCCTCCTCCCCACCCAGCTCAGCCTCCCACTGCCTGGCTTCCGGGAACACGGGAGGAGGAAGACAAGGTCTGGAGTTGACTTTCTATGTGCTGGTATCAGCTGTTCCATGGGGCTGGGAACAAGGACAGAGGCATGGGCCTAAGTTGGGGTCACACTGGGTGAGGAAGATGTACATGAATACAAAGGAGGAGCCTCTTTTAAGCAAACCTGATAGTTAAAAATGAATAGCAAATAGAAGTAATTGTTGGTATTACCCAAAAAGTTGTTGGACATTTAAATTAGGGCTGGTTTTAAAAGCAAAATCGATTGACTCCGTGTTTTGGGAACACATTTATCAGAAAAGATACCCTTACAGTGGGGCAGGAGTCCATTGTAGGGGCCCTGAGGAAGAACTGCCTTGGGAGGTTTCTTCCCAAGCTCTGCTTTCCTGAGCCCATGGGACAGATGACACGCTGCCCAGCCCCTGCCCTTGAGCCTTAGAACTAGGCCCCCTCCCTGCTTTGCCCCCTCTGAGGGAATCCGAGTGGTCACCAGTTGTGCCGAAGAGCTTTTAAGGCCAGTTGCTTAACGTCCCCAGACAGTGGGGAGAGCCCATGCTGGGGTCGTCCTCTGCGCATGAGTAGCTACCATGTGGGATGCCTCAAAGCATGCAGACTCAAACCTTGCAAGGAGCAATGGACCAAATGACCACCTCACAGCCAACTGCCAGTGGGGAGAGGGGGATCTTTTACCTAAAAGGGTGCTGCTTTTTAATACATGGCTCCTTGTGAATTCTTGTGAATTCTCTTTTTGGGAAAGGAGAATTGGTCAAAGTTTATTTCATGGCTGATGTTTGGCAGGCATCTAATGTAGGCTTGTAGACAGTTCCTGGCCTAGACCAGTAGCCACGGCTTGTTTTTGTTTCGTTGGCTTTGTTCTGCTCTGAGATTGGGAGGGGGAAGTGGGAGGGCCAACTCTGGGCCTGGCTTTAAGGGAATTCTGGGATGAGTAAGGCTTCGCTCCCTAGGGAAACTCAGATTCTTGGATGTGCGTGACTGCCAGTCTGGTGCAAATCCTCTTCTCAAAAAGGATAGGAAGCCCCGTTGTTCTTGTGGCCCCTTCCATGGCTCCACTTGGAGTCTTGGGCCTGGAAGATTGCTGAGCCTTTTGCCATTTAGATGAAGTGTCCAGAATAGGCAAATCTATAGAGATGGAACATAGATGAGTGGTTGCTAGGGACTGAGGAAAGGGGGGAATGGGGAGTGGCCGCTAATGGCTATAGCGTTTCTCTTTGAGGTAATGAATGTGTTCTGGAATTAGATAGTGGTGCAAGTTATACAACCTTGTGAATATGCTAAAAGCCACTGAACTGTATACTTTAAAATGCTGAATTTTATGATATACAAATTGGATGTCAATTGAAAAAACAAAAAAACAGCTGAGCCTTTTGGCTCTTGCAGGGATTGGGGGCTGTTCCCCTGTGCCTGACTTTCACGGCCATCCTGGTGTCTGTGCATGCCCCAAGCCAGGGGTCAGGCATCCGTTCCAATGTTGGGGAGCCCAGTGGAGGCAGTGGACTCTTGCTTGGACTCCTGACCATGGAGCTCACATTTCTGGACTCCAGGGTCTGGGGTTAGATGAAAGCTGTGCTAATGAGCCCTGGGGGGATTAGGAGGTGCAGGTTTGAGCAAGACTTGAGCAGGGGAAGGAAGTGCTGCTGACCCATGGCCACTATGTCCAGTGAAGCTCTGCAGAGATACACTCAGCCAGCCCTCTATAGCCTCAGAGAGAGGGAGCCAGTGGGCCTTGCTGGGGAGGGTTAGTGATGGTTGATCACCAGCCCTGATTGGAGTGAAGCCTGTTAGGAGGAGTCTGGCACCAGGCTGGGCACCACATAGGTCACAGCCAGCCTTTCTGTCTCTGGGAATGCCTCGCTGAGTAGAAGAGACAGATGAACAGACTGGAACCAGGCCCTGGTCAGAGGAGTGCTGTCTCAGAAGGCCCTGCTGGGGCATCTTGGGTGGAGCCGGCCCTGATGTGGGCGGTGGGCTGTGGAGAAGGATCTGCTGGGCAGCTTTTGAAGGTGCAGAGTTGGCCACCAGATAAGGACAGGGTACTTGGGCTCCCTTCCAAACATGCCAGATCTCCCACTTCTCTACCTCAGTTGCCACCCTAAAGCCCACACTGTCGCCGTCACTCACCCAGAAGGCAGTAATGGCTGCTTCCAGCCTCTCTCTGCCTCGACCTTGGCCCCCACCTGAACCCATGCCCTCACCCCCAGTCCAGGTTCCACATAGCAGCCAGGCATCAATCAGATCTCATTTCTTGCCTGATGAGACCCTGTAGTGGCTTCCCATTGCTCTTGGAGTAAAATCCAAACCTCACACCACAGCCTGAGTGCCTGGGTGGTCGGCCTCTGCTGACAGCCCCTCCATAGCCATACTCTATCTCCATAGATAGGTTTAGTGTCCTGGCCTGTTTTATACCCGTCAGGTTCTTTCCCACCTCAGGACCTTTGCACTTGTTTCCTCAGCTTGGAACTCTCTTCCCTAGCTCTCATGTAGCTGCCACCTTCTCATTCCTCATTTGGGGCCTAATTCAAATATCACTTTACCAGAGACACCCCCTGTGAATATCCAAGTGGGACCTCTGTCATCCTCCCAGGCATCAGCTGCCTTGCCCACCTTGGCAGTTCTTCAGGCCGTGGTGGTTGGCATTGCTTTATGATGTACTCGCTAGTTATGCTTAGACCAAAGGCAGCCCATCTACCAAAAGTATCTCTCAGCCTTAGTTTCCTCATTTGCACAACGGGGGTGGCGAGTCCTCTTCCCAGAGTTGGAGTGTAGACTGGAGGCAGCCGTGCCAGGGAAGTGCCCATGAAGGTGCCAGTGTGTCCTGGGCTTGAGAGGTAGCG